AAAAAAAAAAAAAAAAAAAAAAAAAAAAAAAAACTATTTCAAAAAATAAGGTAGAGACCAACAGAGGAAGACAGCCCTGATCCAGGCACACGGGTACAGACTCACAGAAATCTAAATGTACGCAATACAAGGCCAATAATACAACTTACTGCTTACCAGGATTGGGATGTGCTGCACACCTTCCACTCTGGAGCGCATCTGCTACATCCAGCCTACCAGGATTAAAAGGTCCAACTCCAGGCTTGGTCTGTGAAGTTGAAGACGAGGATGTTTGTACATTAACACTAAACCCGTGAGTGACATCTCCTAAGTTGGTACAGTGATGTACAATCTTTACGTTCCTATCTCACCCACTTCTAAAACTGTAACATTAGAATTAGTAGAGTCAACTCTGTAGTGATACTATTAGTACCCATTCCTGAACTTACCTTACTTCTTGATAGACTGGAAATGAAGAAATCCAAATTTTTGGTACTGTTTTTGTTTCCATGAGGTCCCCATTCAGTAAAATTGGTAGGATTTTTCTCCTCCCCTCCATCTGTTTCTGTGTCTCCTTCATCATCAATAACAATTGTTTCACATATATTTCCCTTCTGAGACGTAAAATCTCTTAAAGAAGGAGGAATGATGGAGTAATTTCCTTGTGGATTTTCATGTTTTGAAGATGCAACTACAAAGTTTCTTTCCTCAGCTACTGCTGGAGCACAAATTGGAGGCTGTATTGATTCAACGAACACAACATCATCATCTTCCGCTGGTGAGCTTCTAGATGCACTGGCTGAAGAACCCGCATCTGTGAGGTGAGCTGCCATGGCCAATTTTCCTAGGAAGGCATGAGCCTGTACTGTCAACTGATCTTCCCACTGAGTGTTTACCCACACCGAAGAATCTGTAAGAGACAGAAAGGAGCATTTTCATTTTACTGCTGTAATAGCACTGATAAAACTGTAACAAACAACTCAAGTGATACTCATTCTATTTTCCTGTTCACCACTCTGTTAAATTCTACTCCTGGTGTTTGATGGGAATTATGCAATTTGAAGCTAACAGTGCTCACTTTATGCTACTCTCCACTTACAACAAAAATAGCCCAGGCTTTCTTTAAATTTAAAATAACAAAATTTGGGCTGGAAAGATTGCTTGGCAGTTAGGAGTTTGTATTGTTCTCTTACATAAGACCCGAGTTCGGTTTCCAGCACCTCTATCAGGAGGCTCACACCTGCATTTAATTCCAGCTCAGGGGTTCTGACACCCTCTTTCTAGACTAAAGAACCACCTACATCCACAACTGCACATGTCCACATAGACACACAAGTAAAACAATAAACTTGAAAAACAATATATATATATTGCCTCTGCCTCCCGAGTGCTGGCGTGCTCCACCACCGCCCGGCTCACACACCTTTTTTTTAAATGTATGTTTTTTTCTTTTTCTAATTTCATTTATTTGGTGTTTTTTGTTTGGTTGGTTTTGGTTTTTTGAGGCAGGATTTCTCTGTTCTGGTTGAGATCTGCCCGCCTCTTTATTTATGTATTTTTAAATGTATAAGAACTCTGCATGTATACCTGTAGAGCAAAAGAGGGCATCAGACCCTATTATAGGTGGTTATGAGCCACCATGTGGTTGCTGGGAATTGCACTCAGGACCTTTGAAGAGCAGGTGGACCTTTGCTCAGCACTTGAGAGGCAGAAGCAGAGGCAAGAGGATCTCTTGAGTTTGAGGCCAGTCTGATCTATATAGCAAGTTTCAGAACATTCAGAGCTAAACAAAGACCCTGTCGTCCCCCCCCCAAAAAAAAAAACCAAAAAAAAAAAGAAAACAAAAACAAAACTAAAGCTGGAGAGATGGCTCTGTGTCTAAGAGCACCGCACTGCTCTTCTAGAGGACCAGGGTTCAATTGCCAGAACCCACATAACAGTACATAACTATCTTAACCCATCTCCATTAATCTGTGTATCGCCACGAGGCTGTGATATTGAACTTACTGAGATCTGCCTGCATTTGCCTCAAGTGCTGGGATTCAAGGCAAGCGCCACCACTGCCTGGTTCAGAAACCTTTCCTTTACTGAGATTCTCTACTAACTGATGCATCTAGCTTGTTGACATGAAACCATTCAGTTACTCTGCTCAAAAGAGAAAAGCTACTGTTTGACCACTTAGTTATGTTACACTGAGCAAGTTACTACATCTCACTGAATTAAGTTTTCTAAACTGTAAACAAAATGGGGATATAAAACAAAATTATAGCTTAATATGTTCCAAGACTGACATTAGAACCTTACACATGCTAGGCAAGTGCCATACGTCTAGTCTACATCTCCAGCCCTAGATATTTTAAATCTTGACGGGTTACTGTTCTCTGATTTTTTTTTCCAATAGAAAATCTTACCTATAAACAGTAACATTTTTTTAATTAATAGGATACCTAGCTAATAAATAAAATGGAAGATTCTGATTTTTTTCAACATGGTGAAAACTGCCATTAAAAAATGAATCAGAGTTTGTTTGGTGCACTTCCTTGATCCCAGCACTCAGAAAGCAGAAGCAAATGAATCTCTGAGTTCAAGGCAGCATGGTTTACTTTGAGAGCTTCAGGAAAGCTAGGACTACAGAGATGCTGTCTCAAAACAAATAAACAAAAAAATAAAATAAAATAAGATAAATGAGTTGCAGCATTAGGAAGGTTGGGAACCACTGACTTATCAAGTTCCAGGACAGCTAGGTCTAGATAACAAGATCTTGTCTCAAAACCAAACAAAAAAAGCAAAAAAAAACCATGAAATGGTAAAGTCTCTAAATGTATACTGGCAATGTATAGGCAAATACTTTAAAACTTCTATCTCATGAGGTCCAAAGGAAACTGTGGATATATGATTAACAAGTGGTGCCTCCCAGCATACCAAAAAGGTCTGCTGACCTCCAGGCCTTAGGTGCCTGTGGATCCCCTCTCCTCTCACCCTGACCTCACCCTAAACCTAGCGGCTTGCTGTCCCAAGTTCTCATTCCTTTATAACCTGGCCATTCTGGCCATGTGCCCTCTTAGTCTCTTCTCTTTGGTCCCCCTCCAAGTCCATGATTCAGACCATTCTGAAGGCCCTGCTCTGGACTATTCCAAGTGCTTCTGCGTACTATCCTCAAGGCTACAATAAAAACCTTCTCTTCAACCATACCTTGGAGCAGTCACATCCTTTGTTCATTCAATGTTAAGTTTTACAGTTGTTTAGACCTTGGGTCAATTTAATTGTTATGTGGTGCTTTTATATGAAAATTTAAAAAAGAATAAAATTGGTATATGCTCTCCAGCAGACTGGCCTGTCTGGAGGAGGCAAGTCTGGAGGAGGGCATTTCCCGGGTTGTTGAATAATGTAGGAGGGCCTGGCGCAGTGTGGGTGGTGTCACCCCAGGGGCAGGTGGTTTTGGGTTGTAGAAAACAGGCATGGGGAACAATCAAGCAAGTAGCTCTTTCTGCCTTTAGGTTCCTGCACCAACTTCCCTTCATGATGAACTGTAAATGTAAGACAGAGTGAGAAGAAAAATGCAGTTAGTTGATAGCAGCCTGACCTGTGCAGTTTCACAAAGGGAGGCAAAGGCTGACACAGTCATTTTTTTCCCCTCCTTCCTTCTTTTGGTTTTTTGAGACAGGGTTTCTCTGTAGCTTTGAGACCTGTCTTGGAACTAGTTCTTATAGACCAGGCTAACATCGAACTCACAGAGATCTCCTGCCTCTGCCTCCTGAATGCTGAGATTAAAGGAGGGCGCCAGGCTCTTTCTAGCTTTTAAGAATGGAGACTGAACTGTGTGTGGTGGTGTATTCCTTTGATCCCAGCACTCACAAAGCAAGGGCAGGATTTCTGAGTGGGAGGACAGTCAGATCTATAGAGCAAGTTCCAGGACAGAGAGGGCTACACAGAGAAACCCTGTTGGATGTGGGTTGCTAAGGGAGGTGGGAAGGAGACTAGGAAGATGGAGAGGCTCAGCAGTTAAAACCACTAGTAACTCTTGTAGCGTGGGGGGGGGTGTGGTGTAGACAGAGAATTGTACTGTCTGATACTATACCCTACATCGGACAGGGGCTAGATAGATAGATGTTCAGCAGTTAGGAGCATTTGCTGCTTTCCCAGAGGACCAGCATCCAACTGACCCTACTCGAAAAGACCTGTAACTCCAGCTACAGCAGATTCAACACCTTCTTCTGGCTTCCTCAGGAACACAAAGACAACACACACATACACTAAATATTTTTTAAAAATAAAAAAGATACGTCTAAGAAGTACTACATGAGAGATCACAGAGGCTACATGGAGAGAAGGTTCAGTGGTTAAAATAACTGGCTGCTCTTCCAAGGGCTTGACGCAGCTCACAACCTGCTCTCCATTCCAAAGGATCCCCTGCCCTCTTCTGGTCTCCTTGAACACTGCATCCAAATGGCACAGACATACAAACAGAACACCTATACATGGGAAAGAAAATCTTTCAAAAAGGGAAAGAACTGTAATTCACTAATTTGCTCTTCCTCAATCTTAAAGCATTTGTCAGTAATTTTTTAGGTATTTAACTTTTACCTTAAAACCTCATTTTAATGAATTGGAGCTTAGTCTCATTAAAGAATTCTAAAAAACAGCAACGTTAGTGGTACTTACGGGTGTGACTCTTGCCATAAATTGCACTGGCTCGGCTTTCCGGCCAGAGACCACTCACTCAAGCAGCAATTTTTCGAAGTAACAGAAAAGCAAACTTCATATGCAACAGTCTATCCTAGTAGGTTTAAAAAGGAAAGATACGCAAAATGACTCACAAAGGAGATGTTTTCCTCACTTCACCAGAATGGCTTGAAGGTTCTAGAATAAGAAAAAACAGCAACAAAAACCTTTAGCACCAATAGCGAGGAGGTAGCACCAACCCTGACCACCAGAGGAGGAAGTATAAAGGTGAAATCATTCCAGAGCTTTTCTAGCAACTTCTCCAAATAAACAAAGATCAACTACTAAAAAACTACAGCAAATCAAGCTCGATCTAGTCCTTCCAGTTTCAGAATTAGGAAGAGTGCACAGCTGCGCAGAAGGATAAGCGCTTCCTCCAAGCCAGCAAGGGATTCGAATCCTATTTCTCCCACGTCCACCCTGCATCACAGCCACCAATCAAGTACCAAGAAGGTGGAAGGTGTTCAACAACTGATTCCATTTGCAGCAAGCACTTGCCCGAGACCTAAGATTCCTACGCCTCTGGAGACCACGACATGCACAAGTCAGACATAAGAAATTGCTCCACTAAGACTAGAAGCTGCTGCACAGCGCGGTGGAGAGGAGCGAAAGAAAAAACGCCGCAGGACTTAAACGGCTCCCCCCACCACAGAAAACTTGGAAGCTAGATCAGACAGACGAGGTGAGAGTGCAGCCACTAGGGGGGGGGGGGTCTAACGGGCTCCTCACCCGACTGCCCACCCGCCCACGCGCTCACCGCCCACAGACAGGAAAGGAAAACACCCCGAGACCTCCGGCCGCCGCCACCCCTACCCTGCGTCCCCCCCTCCCCGGCATCGGCCCCACCCAGACGCTCCCGCGCCCCTCACCCTTCGAGTCGCACGCGAAGCTGCCCGGGATGTGAATGCGGCCCCCAGGGCACCCCGAGGCCCCGACGCAGCAGCGGCGACACCGGCCGCCGCGGGCTTAGCAACCCGGGTCGGTGGGAGGCTCCCGAGGCTGCCCTCACCCATCTCCGCCTCCCCAGTCGCCCCCGCCTCCGCTGGCTGCGCTGCTCCCAGCCACCCCCACTCTCAGCGGCCCTCGACAGGAAAGACAGCGGGGATAAGCCTCACCCGGTTCTGGCTGCAGCTCCGCGGAACGAACCTCCCCTCCCCCGGCCCACCCCCCTTCGGCGACACGCACAACTCCGCTCGGTCCAGTCCCGGCTTTAGCGCTGGTGAGGAGGAGGTAGAGGAGGCGGCGGCGCGGCGGAGCCCAGGGAGGCCCCGCCCTCCGCACGCTCATTGGCTGCTGGCGAAGGCGGCCCGGAATGCCTCGGGCATGTCCATTGGCTCCGTCGGCCTTCGTTCAGGACCCTCCTCAGTGAGGTAGTTAGACCGGCTGTCCGTCAAAGCTCGGCCACGCCCTCGTGCCTGCCGTTCCCTCCACCCCCCACCCCGCCGCCAGCCTCGGGCTTAGCCCTCCCTCCTCCCTCCTCCTCCCTTCTCTTCCCTCCCTCCTCCCTCCCTCCTCCCTCCCTCCCTCGGTGCCCCCGCCCCGCCCCCACTCGCCGGGTCCGCCGGGGTCAGGAGCCCGAGAGGCGAGGCCCGCGGTACGGATCGCCGTGCGGCCTCGGGGCGGACGAGTCTTCGTCGAGGCTTCCCGCGGGGCCGGGATCGGGCCACCGGGCCTCGGCCTCCAGACGGTTGCCGCGGTCCCCCGCGACTCTGCCCGAGGAGCGACGCGGCCTCGATGCCCCGGCGTCCTCCCTGTCCAGGCCGCCAAGGCCCGGGGAGACGGCCGAGCCCCGCAGTGCCTGCGGCGGGCCGAGGGGGCGGGCCGGGCCGCGGCTGCAGGGGACGGGCGCGCTGGCGGCCGTGCGGGCGCTTCCACCTTGCCTCGCCCGTGGGAATGGTCCCCCACCTCCGCCATGGCTGCGGCGGGAGGAGACGTCGTCCTCCATTTTGTGGGATCTGTCGGGACAACTTGGTGCCCATCAGAACCGAACCCCGCGGGGCCGGGAAACTTGGCCCGGAACAGCCCCGACCGCGCTCTGCCATCGGCCGTGCCCTCGGCGGCTAAAGGCCTGCGCGCCTAGGTTGCGGCCGGGCCACACGACGGTGCGCGCCCCGGGGACCCGGGCTGTCCAGGCTCGGCCGTCGGTGCCTGGCAGAGCGCGCGCTCCCGAGCCTGCCCAGCGCCTGTGCCCTACATTGACGGGGCCTCGGCCACCCGCGCCTTTCGTTCCTCCTGCCCGACGTGGCCCCTTGGGCAGCGACCTTTGCCCGGGAGCCCCGCTGGGCGCGTTCGGAGCGAGGCGGCACGAGGGTCTTTTGTTCGTCGTCTATACCTACGTCTGGTGGTTTGTTTGGATTATAGCTGATGTTGTTGCATTAGATCGAAGTAGTGTGTGATAGACCAAGTTGCTGTATGGTCTATATATTACTATACATAATATATGACTATATAATATATTATACACAGTTTTTCACTATCTAGCATAGTCAGGCTTCAAACTGTAGATCCTTTTCCTGCCTCTGGAATGTTGGAATTGTAAGAATTACACCACCGCTGTTTTGCTTTTGCCTCACGTACGATTTCAAAACAGATCACGGGACACATGCCTGTATAACCAACATTCAAGGGGTGTAAGTAGCAGGATCAGTCAAAGCGCCCTGGGACACCTGGCATCGTCTCATATACAGGAAGCTGAGGAGGAATAAGAGAGACCTCTCAGCGGTTAAGAGTGCATACTGCTCTTAGAGACTACCAGGGTTTGCATCCTCCTGTGGCTTTTTCCAATTGCCAGTCACTCCAGTTCCCGGAGAGCCAGTGCCCTCTACTGGCCAACCTACGTACATAGGTGTGTGCATACATACAGGAACGCATTTATTGCATGCATACTTTCAATGTTTAAGACACATGTCCAATCCCCTCCCCCCTTTTTCTGAAGTATGATAAAAGCACATTTATTCAATGACAAGCATATAGACCTCTAAGTCATGTTCTTATCTATGTATCAATGGGGGGGCTGAATAAGCCTTTCTAATGCTTTACATCGTGGACATTCCCAACATCAGCATTTTATTTAAGTCTTCAACGACTGTTTGCAAATAAATGTGATAATCATAACATTTCAGTAATTACTGAAGATGATAACCATCTTTTTTATGTTTAGGCGTTTGGAAATACGAAGCTGTAGGTACATTGAGTTGATACACAAAAGCTCCTTAGAGTTGGAGAGATTTAATGTTAGGTTTGCAAGCTACAAGTTGTGTATTTTCTGAAAATCCATCTCCCCAATATTTAGCATTAGTACTGTTAATAATTAAACTTTAAAGTACGTTTTCCCTAGTAATTACAAAAACAACAACTGTTCCTTTAGTATGCTGATATGTTTAGTTTGATGCTACTATACAAGAGTGCCACACACAGTAAGTTAGAACTACAGTTTATTTGACTAATGGATTGCTGTAGGAATTCCTACAGCCAGTAGCCTTTAAGTTACCTGCCTACTTGGGCGTGGCCTTTTATTACTATAAATGCCTATGTAAAGTGCACGTCTGGCCTCTGTTCCAACTGTGGTATTCAGTTGCTGTTCCCCATTCATGCAGAGAACTGTAACCTGTGAGTCTACCCCTAAATAAATAACCCTCTATAATACTCTATTCTGAGCTACTGTGGGATTTCTTTTAAGTGTCCATCTTCATCTGGCACCCCACATTGGGCATGTTGTAAGAGGCAACCACTTGTTTCCCAACCACTGGGCATCTTAGACCCAAAGATAATCCCACAGAAACTATATTGTTTAAATCACTGCTTGGTCCATTAGCTCTAGCTTATTATTGGCTAGCTCTTACATATTAATTTAACCTATCTCCATTAACCTGTGTATTGCCGCAAGGCTGTGGCTTACTGGATGAAGTTCTAGCATCTGTCTCTGGTGGAGCTACATGGCTTCTCCCTGACTCCGTCCTTCTTTATCCCAGCATTCAGTTTAGTTTTCTCAGCCTACCTAAGTTCTGCACTATCAACAGGCCAAGGCAGATACTTTATTCATTAATGGCAATCACAGCATACAAAGGGGAATCCCACATCAATGGATTTATTTATTTATTTATTTTTGGTTTGTCAAGACAGGGTTTCTCTGTGTAGCCTTCACTGCCCTGGAACTCACCTGTAGACCAGATGCCCTCAAACCACAAGATCTGCCTGCCTCTGCCTCCCAAGTGCTGATCAAAGTCTTGCACCACCACTGCCTAGCTAATGGCTTTAGAGACTAGAAATTTCAACAGTGAGCCACATCTGGTGTGCAACTCTTAAGTGTCATAAGTGCTAGATAGAGAGGGCAGGAACTGAGCACTACAGAAAATCACGTCTATAATGAAGCCATTCCTTCAGTAGCTGTTTGACTCAGGGTTTCTCTAGAAGTCCACCTAAAATGGTAGAAAGCTCATGATCTCTCAATGTCCTGATTTCCTTGGCAATCTCAGCAGCAGATAAAATTTAATATATATTTTGGAGGGAACATTCAAAGTATAATGGAGATTTGAAAATCTGAGACCATGTTTTTTCATTACTCATAAGTGATACTTTGATAAATTTAATGTCAGGTGGTACACACTTCTTTATTTCCAGAACTCAGTAGGCAGAGGCAGACATATATCTGTAAGTCTAAGGGCAACCTGGTCTACACAGTGAGTTCCTGGCCCACAAGAGCTACATAATGGACCCTGTTTCAAAAAAACAAAAGTCACAAAACTTTTTAAAAATCATTAAGACTCTATTAGATAAAACTTCAGAGACAGTTTGATACAGCTAAATTAGACTGAACTTTCCATTAGCAACCTGCATTTAGAATCTTTTGTGTGTGTTGATGCATGTCCATAGCACCAGCACTTGCGACCATGAATCAGAAAGATTGTGGGTTCAAGACCTACCAGGGTTTCATAGACCCTGTGTCAAAAGGACAAAAATAAATTTAAAATGTCTAAGATAAATTTTTCACAGTAAGCCCCAGGCAGAAAGGCACATGCTTGCAACCCAGACCCTTGAAGACTGAGGCAGGAAACTGGAATGCTGCTGTCATGCCTGCAGAAAGGAATGAGTTCTTGTTTCAAAAATAAAATGTGTTTCCTCAGGAAAATACTGAAACGTTACAAGAATTAAAAGATAGTAGTTAACATAGCACATAGACAAGAATTTTGGATAATTCAAAATAGGGTAATTAAAAGCAAATCCCTTTTCCAGGACAGCCATGATAACATCAAGTGACCCTGCTTCAAAAACGAACAAACCCCAAACAAATCTTTACAACCACGTCCAAATGGCAGACTATCCAAGCAGAGGAAGAACTTTGTGTTTTGAGACAGGCTCTTACTTTGCAGCCCAGGATGATCTGCAACTTGTGGTACTCCTGCCGCAACCTCCCCATTCTAAATTAACAAGTGAACGCATCACACCAAGCTAAAAGAGATAGGGAAGAAAAGATAGAATTACAATCATTACAATCTCATGAAATGCAGGCGGATCTCTGTGAGTTTGAGGTCAACCTGGGCTAGAGTGAGTTTCATGACAGCCAAAGCTACACAGAGAAACCCTGTGTTGAAAAACAAAACAAAATATTCAGGGAATAGAGAGATGACTTAGCCATTAAAGGCACCTGTTACTTTTGCATAGGTCTCAGTTTCAGTTCACAGCACCCATATGGCCGCTCAAAACCACTTATAACAGTTTCACAGAATGTGACACCCTTTACTGGCTTCTAGCAGTCTTGCAAAACACCCATACACATTTTTGTTTGCTTGTTTTTGTTTTTATTTTTTGAGACAGGGTTTCTCTGCAGCTTTGGAGCCTGACCTGGAACTAGCTCTTGTAGACCAGGCCAGCCTCAAACTCACAGAGAGTTGCCTGCCTCTGCCTCCCAAGTACTGGGATTAAAGGCCTGTGCCACCGTTGCCCTTCTGCATCTTTTTTTTTTTTCTGAGTTTTGTTTTGTTTTTCAGGCTCTTATTATGTAGCCCTGACTATCTTGTAGACCAGGCTGGTCTTGAACTCACAGAGATATGCCCTGCCTCTGCCTCCCGAGTGCTGACATTAAAGGTGTGTGCACTCATACTCCGCATTTTTTTAAAATAATTTTTTAATTTATTATCTTTTTGTTTATGTGTGATTTTTCGAAATAAGGTTTCTCTATAGCTTTAGAACCTGTCCTGGAACTAGCTCTTGTAGACCAGGCTGACCTCAAACTCACAGGATCCACCTGCCTCTGCCTCTGCCTCTGCCTCCCAAGTGCTGGGATGAAAGGCATATGCCACCACTGTCCAGCTTTATAAAATTATTTTTTTAATATTTATTTATTTATTTATTATGTATACAATATTCTGTCTGTGTGTGTCTGCAGACCAGAAGAGGGC